AGCTTTATTTTTTTTCCAGCTTTATTGAGGTATAATTGACAAATAATAATTGTATATATTTAAGGTATACACCATGATGTTTTGATATATGTATGCATTGTGAGATGTTTGCCACAATCAAGCTAATTAACTCACATAGTTACCATCTTGTGTGTGTGTGTGGTGAGAACACTGAAGATCTACTCTCTCAGCAACTCTCAAGTATACGATAGAGTATTATTAACTGTAGTCACCATGCTGTACATTAGATCCTAGGAGCTTTAAATAGGAGCTCACATCATGACTTAGCTATAGATTAAATGGGAATTTGGGCAATCAGCAGTTCTGTTTTCTTCTGTATTTGAGTTTACCTTTGATGCCAAGATGAAGATCCTAATCTCACTTGCAATGTGCAGCATTAACTGGGAGTTAAATAGTAGTTAAAAAATGAAAAACTAAAGGCATTCCACATGCCAAGGGCTGTTTTGGGGAATAATATCAGGGACAAATCAATATGTGCTTATATACACACATATACTCACACACACATAGACACACACACTTATATACACATAAGTACAGACATACATATATATGCACACATGCACATATATATCCTTTCTTTCAAAATTCTTTAAGGAATTTCAAACCAGAGCCTGTTTAGACTTTATTATACCAAACAAGAATACTTTTGCTTACTCAAATCCTTTGGCCCTTTGCTTCTCCTACTTACATCATTTTTTTTTTTTTGATTAATGTGCTGAGTTTGGGGAAAACTTCAAAAAATTTCTGCAAACTATAAAACCACTTGTGTACACACACAAGAGCCTCCATCTTTTTCATCAAACCATACATATTTCTGAAACTGATCTCAGATTACCAACATTCTTTCCTTTTTTATGTCTGGTTTATCTTCAGTTTAACTTTTCCATGTACTCTGGCTCTCAGGCTCTTTCATCTTCCAAGGTTGATACTCCTCCTGTTCTGCACTCCCAAGGAGATCCTCCTCCATCAGGTTTAATGTGGATGTCAAGTGGAATTGTGTTTCGTTGGTTCGGGTCTATTTCTAGTGTGCTGCAGTCCATTCCCAGGATCATATTTCTCTTACTTGGGGCCTTAGCAAGACACAAGGGCAATTTGGAAGTGAAAAACTAAAATGTGCTCATTTACTTACTAAAGGTACGGTATTGTTTATATTGTATACAAACTTATGACAACAATAGTAAACAGGTATCTTAATCTTTAAAAGTGTAAATGAAGTGAAAAATGATCAACCATGTTTTGAACTAAGCTAAAAAGTTTACCTTTAAAAAGTAAAAGTAATTGGTTGAAAAAGACCAATTTATTTAGAGAAGCTGGATGTTACCTGGTTGTAGTTCCAATCCTGCCTTAACTCTGTAATCCATGGACAGATCATTAGCGTTGCTGCCCACAGTCGTGTCTTCCATGCAAGATAAGAGTGGATCATTGAGTCGTTTTATGTCCTTCCACGCTGTCACTCTTGCTTGGGGAGCCTCATCTCCTTTATGCCTGTGAGCAAAATGCTTTTAGAGTTAGCGTCCATCCGGTGCTTACCATGCATCAGGCTCTCCTCCAAGCTCTTTAGATGGATTATCTCATCTGTTTCTCTGGAAAAAAGTCTGCAAAAAAATACACCAACATGCTCATTCTGGCTATTGTGGTGTTCATGGTATATATTTGTCTCTTTTCTTCATTTCCCATAGATCACATTACTTTCCAGTGGAAAGAAATGCAAAGAGCACAATTATTGGAAAGTAATAACAAAGACTGACAAAGTTTTTGCAATTTTTAAGCACTTTTCACATGAATTTATGTGTTTAATCCCTCTAGACACCGTCGGGCACAACTGGTCCTATTTCCCCCATTGTGCAGTCGAAAAAGGTAAGGTCAGCTTACTTGCCCAAGGTCACACAGCTAATAACAACTGAGCCAGAACTCAGACTTACAACTTCTGACTCCCTGACTCTCCGCACCAAATTCCCTTTCCCCAGAAGTCCTAAGTGACTTCTGTTACATCCTGGGGAGTCATCCTTTCACCAGATTTGCAAGACAGCCTCTTCACTTAGGTTAGGATTGACTTTCTCTCCTCAAGTTGATCTCACTTGACTAGCTGTCTTGTAGCACATATTTTTTCCCAAATAGCTCTTTCTCCAGGACTAATCCAAAATGTAGAGATCTCCAGAGTTTGCTGCATTATACAGTCAAACCTCTTCGTGGAAGACAAAGAGCTCCCGGTCTAGGAAGGTGGCGAGTGCAAGGGTACTTTCTCAGTGTCCTTGGAAGATGTCCACAGGCTTTGGCCTCATCTGAATAATCAAAAGAAATGGCTAGATTTATACACCTTTTTATACACTGAGATTTATATACTCCCAGGTTTTTACACTCCTGAGGGTCATTAGACTGACGAAAAGGTTTCCTACCTTATGTTTAATAGTACTTTACAGTTTTTACAGCAATCCCATATCAGTAGTTAAATTAATCTTTACAACAACCCTTTAAGGTAGACCAGGGAGGGGGTGTATCCCTGTTTTATAGACAGTCAAAGTGAGGTCGCACAGACTGAAGGTGGCAGAGCCTGATGCTGCCCTTCTATCCTCAGGCCTAGGCCACTTTCCTTTTTGTCTCCCCGAGATTCTATCCATACCATTGTTTGTGTAGCTTTATGGCCATTCATCCTTCAGTAGTCTGTGTGTTGTTAGTGCCGTCCAGTCGATTCTGACTCCTAGTGACGCTGTGTACAGCAGAGCAGAACCCTGCCTGGTCTTTTTGCGCCATCCTCTCACCTTCCATTGCTCTATCAAACAATGCTCCTCTGCTATTCACAGGGTTTTCATGGCCGATGTTTTTGGAAGTGGGGGCCAGGTCCTTCTTCCTTGTCTGTCTTAGCCTGGAAGCTCCGCTGAAACTTGTCCACCGGGGGTGACCCTGCTGGTGTTTGAAATAGTGGTGGCATAGCTTTCAGCGTCACAGCAACACACAGCCACCACAGACTGACAGATCGGTGGCGTGGTTCCCTGTGGTGCCCACCCAGGGTGGACAGGTTTCAGCGGAGCTTCCAGCCTAAGACAAACTAGGAAAAAGGACCTAACCACCTACTTCCAAAAAAGTCAGCCGTGAAAACCCTGTGAATAGCAGAGGAGCATTGTCTGATATAGAGCTGGAAGGTGAGAGAATGGCACAAAAACACCAGGCGGGGTTCCACTATGCCGTACACAGTGTTGCTCAAGTCGGAATCAACTCCATGGCACTAACAACAAAGTCTGTTTTAATTGTGAATTTTATTTTAAGAAAGGAAAAATCAGATTTATTCTGCTTCATCTTCTTGCTCTATTCATAATGAATTCTGCAGGTCGATTTATCCTCAGCAGTGGTGAGCCAGAATTTAAGTAAAGCTTCTACTTAGCTGGTGCATTTGCATGTCAAATCTTTAATTCAGCTGTCAGCTTTTATCATTTACTGTACTTTTGTTAATAAATGTTATTTTGATGGTCTAACACTAATCAAGCCTATTTGAGAGGGGGAAAAAGCACGAAATGTGATTTATAGAGGAATCAGAGCTTCTTCACAGACGTTAAAAGAATTGTTACCTTACATGTGTTTTAATCAGAGTATGTGTAAAATTAAAGTTAATCATGTTATTAGTTCTTTCAAAAGAAAAAAGAAGCCAAGGGATAAGCTTAGATTCATATTTTCCTTTAAGAACGTACTGAGCACCTGCTACATGCCAAATGTTCTAGGCGCTAGAAATACAGCTTTCAACATGGCAGAAAAAAACACCTGCCTTCAAGGGGCCGGCCCTCTGGCCTAGTGGCTAAGTTTGCGTGCTCCACTTCGGCAGCCTGGGGTCCTGGGTTTGGATCCTGGTTGCGGACCTACACCACTCATCAGCCATGCTGTGGTGGCGACCCACATACAAAGTAGAGGAAGACTGGCAACAGATGTTAGCTCAGGGCAAATCTTCCTTGGCAAAAAAAAAAATACCTGCCTTCAGGAAGTTGCTGTTCTAAGGGACAGATAGGTGGGCATGTCAGATAGTGCTGGGGGCTAGGGAAAAAGCTGAGCCAGGATGGTGGACAGATTCCTTGGGGGGTGGGTAGTCAGGGAAGGTCTAACCAATGTCACATCTTATCCACATTATGGCATAGAAATCTGATTTCCATCAGCATCTTTTTTTGTAACTTATAGCTCCAGAATAAATTATGTTTGACTTTATCCTCAGTAGGAAATCAGCTTATAGTAGTTAAACTTGTTCGGTGGCATTCTTCAGAGGGATATTAGGGACTACTACTTCTACCAATAAGTCTATGTTTATCTTTTTTTTAATCCTTGAGCTAACATCTGTGCCAATCTTCCTTATATTGTATATGGGGTACCGCCACAGCATGGCTTGATGAGCGGTGTGTAGGTCTGCGCCTGGGATTTAAACTTGCGAACCCCGGGCCGCCGAAGCAGAGCGTGCAAACTTAACCACTATGCCACCAGGCCAGCCCCCTTATCTTTTTTATTATACATTGGAGTCTACATAAGGCTCCTTACTTTTTAAAAAAGGATCTGCCTTTAAAAAAAAGAAAACAAAGAAAAGTTAAAGAGGAGAAAAATGGTTGAGGAATTATTCATATTAGAACCTTTTTTTCCTGTGTTTCTTATATTTTCATTTTTTTCTAAAATGATGGCATCCATTCCATAAGTTTGGCGACCATAACATTATTTTGTATTTCACTCTGTTTGAACATTGGAAGGAAAATATGCTTCTTACCCACCCACTCCCCTCCCGGAGCCTACTACGAGCCCTAGAATGAGATCACTGGGGCTGGCCACGATGAGAACCCCTTCCTTTGCCTGAGGTCTTGTCTTAGAAGCGAAAATTCACAGCTGCTGGTTCTCAGGACTAAACCAGCCAGCCTTGCTTTTCTGTTCTAGAAGGTGCAGATGGTGCTTGGGATTTCAGGTGACTGCTTCTCCCCACCAGGATACAATGTATGTTTTCCTTTTCTCTCTAGGTGGCAGCACAAAGACAGAAAAGGGACAAGTGACAGCAGGTCTACGCAAGGCTTGGCTGCTTCTCAATGTAACTTAAGACACTCCCAGAGGGCTAAGACTTTTTCTTCTGCACTTTCTAGAAAATCACCAAATGCCAAAAGATGTATTTTAAAGAACTCATCACGAATGCTTTATTTCTTTGATCAATACCACTAGTCCATTTGGGCCGCAGCATTTCCCCCTGGAGGGTGATTCTGTCATGGAAATTGAAAGCACCAGGGCAGGGTGTGAACCTGCTCATAGTCTGAGGAATTTAAGCCATATCATCCATCTGCCCCAAGCCTATGCCCCACAAAGGTGTGCATTTTAAAGTATAGTCCTTCAGATTTCAAAACACTGGGAGGAGAAGGCTCATCATGAAATTCGTGTCATTTGTTAAGCCTGACCACGTTGGTCTGTTCTGCTTTCCTGGGGTTGGGCGAGCTTGTTTTAGCTCTGTATATGGTGAGTTAAGTACTTGATTCCACACTAAAAGCTTTTATGAACCAAATTTCTACCTTTACTTTAAGGAAAAAAAAAAAAAAGGATGACCTTTCTTTACTCCTTATCAATTTGGCAGCTTCTAATTCATAACGATACTTGAACATGTGCATTTTATGATCTGCTGGAGTTATAGAGATTGCTTCATTTTTAAAAGATCTGTCCAGTATGTGTATTATTATTATTTTTTAGAGTGAAGGCATGAGATATGGGGGAAAGTTGGAAGTAAACACCAAAAAGTAATTTAGTGGGGAATTCTGATGCGTAGTGAACATGTTTTAGGGGGCAGTGGGGAGTTTTATGTGAAAACGTCTGGGATTTGAACTGGCTTGTCCACTCGACATGCAAGAGGAATTGGGCGGAAGCTTCTGAGGTGATCTTCCTGCGTTCAGACAGGACCCCAAACCTCTTCTTTAAGACATAATTTTGTTTCTGATTCTCTAACTCCATTAGGTAAGTAGAACCTGGTTCTGGAAAGTACTCTGTAATTTTTTTACATACCTCCTTTTACACATAGAAATTTTTGTTAACCTGGAGGGACATTTAACATTCTTGTGTTTCTGTAGTTGATAGTGAATCCTCCTCTCCAAAAACCCAACTCTAGGAAGTCGGTTGTGGAATTCGGGATGTATTACAGGCTTCCACGAGGGAGTGCTCCACAGAAATTACCTGTTTGAAATCCAGGCTGTTTGGGTAAGAATCAAGAGCCTGACACATAGTTTAACATACAGTTGTGGAGTTAAAATCTGGCTCTCTCTGTTCTCTCCTTGCACAATCCCAAACACTGTCCTTGGAACTCAGTGTGTATTTTGGCCCAAAGCAACCGCCGACACTGAAGTTTTACTGCAGAATGTATTGTATGTCCTGGAGCAGATCGGTTTGCCTCTCAAGACCACATCTCAGGGCAGGAGAGCTGGCTAGCGTGATGGTTGTCCTTATCTCTCTCTCTCCTCCAGAAAGACTTACTTCGCAGAAACCTCTGTGGGGGCACCATGCTTCCACATGTATGAGGCTCCCCAATTAGAGAAAGGCTTGTTGGCTTGTTGGATACACACACACACACACACACACACACACATACATACACACACACTCATTGCCTCAAATTTAATCCACCTCTTCATGGCCAAAGCCACTAGATATTGATGATACTTAAGTTGTCACTAGAAGCCCCAGTCTCTTAAATGTGCCCCAACCTCATATTCCATTGGCCTCTGAACTTTGAACAACTAATACTTTAAATTCGACACACCTAAAATTACAAAAATTCATTATTTTTTTCTTTACATGAGTAATTCATGACATATTCCCCCAAAAGTTAGAAAGACAGAGAAAGCAAAAGCAATCCCTACCCCCACCCCCACTCAGGATCCTCTGGGTAACTGTATCCTTGGCCCTGAATCAGGTCTTTTTCATAGTTATCCAATTTCCAATATCCAGTTTCTATCCTTTTTCTAGCTAGCAGCCCTACAGTCACTTTTCATGCCATCTACTTCGTTATTTCATCTAAGAACCAAATCCTATTGAGTCCTCCTTCAGAAATACTTCCCAAGAAACTAAAATTAAAACAGATCAACGACAATAAAACCCCAGCACTCTCAAATAAGCCCTTTGTTCTCCATGCCTGCTGCCACCAGGCGTGAGGCTGTTTCCCGCCTGGCTGGTCAGCTCTCTTGAGGGCAGAGAGTGGATGGCCCACGTCTCTATTTCCACAGAGCTGAGCATGTCTCGTGTGTCCACACTCAGCACGTGAGCTATTGAGGCACAAATAAAACGAGATACTCCTTCCCCATCAAATTGTCGACTTTTGGAAAACTGTCATGCTCAGAGCCCGAGAGGATGTGGGAAATGGGCACTCTAGGAAGGATGTAAAAAAGTACAGCTTCTGGAGGCCAAGTTGGAAATAAATATCAAAAGCCTTAAATGCAAAGCCTTGGCTTCAGCAATACCGCTGTTAGAATATAGGCTTAGGAAAAAATCGTGAATGTGTGCAAAGATTCAGCCACAAGAATATTCACTGTGAGACTGTTTAAATAGTAAATAATTGGAAAAAAACCAAATTGGAGAGCTGAGGAAAGTTATTTTTAAAAATTGGTACTAAAAATGCAGGTGATTCTCTCTCTCCACTTTGTCTTCTTTCTTTCCTCTTGTTTGCCTCCTTATGTGAGAAATTGTCTATGATAAACATGTATTATTATTATATTAATACAAAAACAAGAACCTTAAAAATACTCGGTTAATTTATACCATTAATCTCTTAAATGTTTTTCTCTCAAGATTATAATTTTTTTTTAAGTTTTATGTCTCCGTTAGTAAGTTTCTTGGAGGAAGAATCTATGTTTCACTGTTCTGTGCTTAGTATTTAAGGGGACGCTTAGCAAATACTATAAGTAATCAAATAATTGCTCTTCTTCTTCTATCCTCAAACCTTTAAGGCTTTCAGATCCCTACTGTTGATTCCTTGACTTCCCTTACCCAGTCAAAAATATATGTTTTGCTTTAAATTGTGTGTGTTTGACATGAATATGAATGGTAAAATTAATTAATTTGGCTTTGAAGATCTACCAAGAGCCCCAGAAATCATTGCAAATGCTCCAGGGTATTTCACAACCAGAACTGAGAATTACTGGAGAATTACTGGGAATTACAAGAATTACTGAGAATTACAAAACAGAGGTGAGACCAAAAAAACATGACGGATGGAAGAGAGCACAAAAAATAATGTTTCACATTTGTTGATATACAGCCTCAGCAGACAGTAACCAAATTGTTCAACTTCACAGCAATAACTGAAGTCCTCCCCACACACACACACCCAGCTTCACTTAAAACCTTTCAGGGGTTCCTTACCGCTCCTGGGATGAAGCCCCACATTCTCCCCATGACCTGCAAAGCTCTGCGTGCCATACGTAGCTCCAACCCTTCCATCTGTCTCAGCCGTGCTGTCTTTTCAGGCCCTCAGTTGCGCCATGTTTCCTCTAGCTACATGGCTTTTAGACCTACTATTTCCTCCTCTGGAACGTTCTGCAAGCCCCTCTCCAATTACCTAAGTCCTGGTCTTCCCTCAGCTCTGATCTTCCCTAGTGTGCCAGAGGGAAGCCTTAGGGAGGCTCCCTGACCATCCCAGCCAGGGCAGATCTCCTGTGGCAGCTCTCATGGCGCCCTGTACCTTCCTGCAACTATCACAGAGATATGTTTATATCTGTAGGTATGATGATTGGATGAATGAATGTCTCCCCAATGACACAGAGCTTCAAGAGGGCAGAGACCATTTCAGCTTACCATTTCCGCAGAATAGAGTTAACTTAGCAGGGCTGAGGCTGCTGTCCTTGCCTGCTTGCAAGGTTGGCCCTTGGTTGACGTCTGGGAACTGGCTGCAAAACAGCTCCTTACACTGATCTGATCAGAGTGGCCACTGTGCCTAAACTGTACAAACAATGTGGCTTATGCTGAACACCTGCTTTCCTTCTGGGGAGCTGGAATTCTGGAACATGCAAGGCAGAGGGGTCCTATGTGACCAGCCCCCAATAAAACCTTAGGCCAGGGTCTCTAATGGACTTCCCCAGGCAGAAACATTGCATGCAGTGTCTTCTATTTTAATTGCTGGGGTGCACTCTGTGTGACCCCTCATGGGAGGGAGAGCATAAGGAAGCCTGCACATGATTTCTCCAGACCACCTGAGTCTTTTCCCTTATGATTCGGCTGTGTATCCTTGCTGCACTGCTGTAATAGATCTTCACTGTGAATACAACCAAAAGCCGACTCCTGTGAGTCTTTATAGCAAATACTCGAACGTGAGTGGTTTTGGGGACCCTCAACACCATTATATCCCCAGAACCTTGCACAGTTTTTGGCATTTAATAAGTGGCATATTACCTATTTTTTGAAATGAAAATGACCTTGGAGGGCTAGAGCTAAATCTGTCCTGAGGAAATTCTCAAAAGAACCAAGAAAACCTATAATTTATCAACTATACCCTAATGACCCAAATAAAGAATGTACATACTTCCAAAAAAGGCAGAATAAAAAATGATTCAGGAAATTTAACACAGTCAAAGCCTGTCAGAATTTTTTTCTCACGAAGATGAATATTCTGTGTCTGAAGGGGGGGGTGGCGGGGGGCGATGGGCTGGGACGTGCCCTCAGCCGCAGCTGCGGTTTCCCTGGTCTCCACTACCACGTGTTTACAGTGTTGGCCAGTTCCATCATGTGACGTGACAGTATGTGGAGCAGTGAGTGCTGCTGAACTTTGGCTGCACATTGAGAATCATCTGGAAGCTTTAAAAATACTGATAACTGGTCTGAGGTGTGGTCTGGGCACTGGGATTTCAATGTGCAGCCTCTCCTGACACCCCCATGCCCCTTCCCTTCCTCCCCCACCTCCCAATCCTCGCCTTTGACAATCGTATATCACAAAGTCCAGGCTTCCACTTGAGGCCAATTTATTCTCATTTTTGAAAGATTTCTTAAAATTGCATTTCTAGTTTCCTAGCTCACAGCTGATAGGCGGGCACACTGATAAGAGAAAGAAATAATACCTTTTGTCTCAACAGCACAAGAAGAGGGGAGCAGCCAGGACAAGCAGATAAAAGAACTCCAAACTATAAAAACCAGGGCAATTTCAGAGCGGGTCACTCCCAAGAACGTCTCTGTAGTGCAGAACAAAGTCATTCGTGAGAATGTTGTTTATAATAATGACCGGCAGGCTACACCACCACTCAGTGCCACCCCCTCCCATATATGCGTCACTTTACATGTAAGATGAAGTTAACTAATTTGTTTTGAATATTTGGTAAGAGCTCAGTATCAGGGATGAGGATGCATGTGTTACTCTCTTGGGGAGCCTTTCTCCTCCAGTAAATGTAAATCCATCCATTTGCCATTTGTTGACTCTTCTCTAGGGAAGACTGCCTGCTCTGAGATGCATGAACTGTTGATTGGCAGAGCTGTGATCTACCTTTCCTTTGTAGCACCCAGATTGGCTGCTCAGGGAATCTGGGAGAAGTGGGTAATAAATTGGGTGCGGTAAGGCTACCCAGGTCTTGAAAGCTAGGCAGAGGAGTTTGGCTTTGAAGTGGATGGAAATGTAGGTTCTCAAACAGAATAGAAGAGCCATAAAAAGAGAGAGATCAGGATTGCCGGGTAGAGATAGGAGGGCTCCATGGAGGAGGTGGGCCTGAGCT